GGCATGTCTGGTCACTAGGATTTGTACTTTTCATTCTCATTCTGAGATTCTTTTATATTTGGGGAGTCTGGCTTCCCTGGAATCTCCCATTCCTTAGGAACATGCACACATGTCCCTCTTCTAGTGGAGCTTGCAGAACCAAGGGCTTCTGTTTCAGGTCCCCTTGTTCTTATCTGTAAACTTTCCCTCAGCTATCATTGAGGAATTATCATTGTGACTGGACCATGACCATACTACTTCTGGCATTCCCTTTCCAAGTGACAAACTAGATCTGTCTCTTCACTGATGCTTCCCTCTCCGAATTAGGACGTTTTCTGGCATTTGGACATGGGACGCGCATTCACTCTACATCAAAATGATCAAATTTCTCGCTGTTTGTCAGGCATATTCCCACTCCTATCCTTACTGATGTATCAGTTGGTCATGATCCACTCCAACAATTCAATAGTTGTTTCTTACATCAACCTTCAGGAGGTACCCATTCCAGGGCTCATTGCTTTCAGGTGTTGGACCTACTCTTCTGGGTCCATTCACATGAAGTTTGCCTTTATTTGCCAGGAGCTAAGAACTTGGTCACAGACTGCCTCTTTTAACCAAGCAGTATTCTATCTATGGATTGGTCTCTACACCCCAGGTCTTTCATTAGGTTTACTCTCCATTGGGCATGCCTCTCGTAGACATCTTTGTCACCTGTCTCAACTCCAGGCTTCCTCTCTTCTGATCCTCTGTTCCTCATTCTTTGGCTCTGGCTGTCAAAGCTCTCAGCCAGGCCTGGTCTCTCACCTCTTTCTATATGCCTGTCCTCTTCTTCGTCTTATGTCTTGTCTTGATAAGTGACACTCCTTGTTCGATCCTATTGTTGGCACCTCTTTGGTCAGCTCAGCCTTGGTTTCCTCTGCTTCTTTGCTTCGCATCTAGACCTCCTTTCCTATACCTAATATCCCCTCTCTATTACTTCAACTTCACATGTCCCTTTTTTCCTTGAGGGATATCATCCCTCCATCTTCACATGTGGGATTTCTCTAGTCTGTCACTCGTCAGACTGGACTCTCCAACCAAGTGGTATTCTTCTTGTCACATTCCTGTCACTCTTCCACTATGTCTATCTATAAAAGAAAATGGTGGGTCTTTCATCACTGGTCTGCCCACCACTCCTTTCCTCCTGGCTCCTAGTGAGAACCACCTTTCTGCCTTTTTATCTGGTTGTTGGTCTGTGGTTTGTCAATCTTCACCATCGCTGGTTATTGGGCAGTCTTGTCCATTGCATTTTGCCTTTCCTGGTACGAGATGGTGTTTTTCCCTTGTGCTTTCTACTCTGTTCCACTCCTTTGTTCTTCTCCAACCTTCTCACCTGACTTCTATTACTGACTATGACCTAACTGTGGTTTTACTTGCTCTCATGCATCCCCCGTTTGAGCTGTTGGCTTTTTTGCTCTTTTTCCCAGCTTTCTCTACAGACTTATTTCCTGTTTTTTTGCTTGTGATTGCCTTCAATCGGATTTCTATACTATTGATGCCTCTTGCATCCGCTCCAACTGCACTTATGTACTCCTCTTCCTGGACCAATCTTTCCTTTCTAAGACTTTTACTGCTCAGGAAGGTAACCATACTTTTTCACTCTCCTACCTCCTTTCCTTCTGTCTCTTAACTATATTATTGTTCTGACCTGGATCAGCTTGTATGTCTGGTTCGGGCTGTTTGGTGTTATTTATCATGGACATCTTTTTTTTGAGTTCCCGGCCATTATATGTCCCTATCATGGTACCTCTCTCCTTCTACCCTCACTGGATGATTCCATCAACTCCTCCTGTTGATATATTCATCTCCAAATGTGGATGCTCACAGGCTATCTCATATTTCTTCACATTTAATTCCTTACTTGACTCATTCTCTTTCTTCCCATTTTTTCCGGCCTTTGGATGAGATCCTCCAGGCAGGCATGTGGACAACTCCCTACAATTTGTCATTTATTCTCTTCACTGTCCAGCTGTTTCATCTCCTGCAGGATTTCAGTTTTCACAGGTTGCTATTCTTCAATCAACCCATTGTCTTTGAAAATAGTAAGTCCATTTTCTTTTTCAGCTTTCCTTTGGATTTATTAGGATCCCACCAGATGGCTGGCATTGCCTCCCAGGGTATGCTTATTTCCCAAAATCTGCATCGAGCCAGGATAACTAAAAGTGCTCAAACCATCTGCCCTGGCTCTACCAGTGCACATTGTGAGGTGGGGTGTTTCGCAAGACAACTTGATATCCTCATGGTATACGCACATACTCAATATTCTGATCTAGTATATACCAATTTCATGGACTATCATGGAAAAAGCCAGCACCAAAAAATTGTTCTGCTCACTGCTTTGGCTCAAACTTACTGGCTTTTCAAAATAGGGTTTCACAGTCACCCATTGCATTGTTTTCCAGTAAAGACCTTTCTGGCTGGTGATCCAATGGGAATCTGGGCAAATTCTCTCCCATTTCTTAGGGTGGAGCATGGGAGATCTTTACCTCTTACTAGTTCCTAGCTGCTGGGGTGGTAGACCATGGAGATCCTCACCAGTTCAGCTTAGCACAATATGGTGAGAAGTGGAGCAGAGATGACACTGTCAATGTAGTACAGGTCACCTTTCAAAAACACATGCCACAAAACTAATGTGCCCTCCTCCTGCAGCCAAAGCTTATTCAGTAGTCTAGGTATGCACAAATGATACAGTCTGATCATGCTCCCTATCACAATACACATATTGGCTCACTAACCACTTTGTGTGCAAGTTCTCAGGTAGTCATGTTCTCATTCTGCCTATCCCTGCAACACTTAGGGCTCATTTGCCTTTCCCCTCTTACATTTTGGGTAAAGAGTAAACCCTGGTTGAGATGAGATACAGTCTCTCATGATTGTGCCCCTATGGAGCTCCTGCCATCAGGTGTCACACTCCATGGGCTTCCCTTGGAACTTTCTGAAGGGTGCTCATGTAGGTAACATTTTGTTCCAGTCCCTCCACCATTTCAACGTAGGATTCTAGCATTTTTGTATGATGAGGTGAGTTATTGTCTTGGAAATTAATATGTTCCTAATCTGAAAATGTATTTCTGATAGATACTCACTTATGCACACATTCCTATCCATCCTTTCCACTTCCAGTACACCTTTTTTTTGTCTTGCTTTGTCAAAGAATGCAGCTATCATGAATGTAAGTGCATAGAGAAAGTTACAGCAGATAGAGATCGTGTGGCCTTCCTCTTGATGGAGGGCTTTTCTCCCAGGATGACATCATCATGCACCAGCCCAATTTATATTAAACACGTGAACTTAGGTGGAAGTTACCTCAATACTAGTGGCATACGAGTCTCATAGGCAGATGTGTGAGGAATATATCATTTCTGTGTGAAGAAGGGAATATCTATCAGAAATATATCTTCAGATTAGGAAAATATTAACTTCCAATACAACCTGACCTAGGAATTGGTTCAGTATTGCTGAGGACAGAACACGATGTTTATCTATAATACATACTATACATGTGTCAAATATTATAGAGGACAGAACACAACATTTCTGATTTGTGTCTATAACATTTTAACATAACGTGAGAATGTGTCCAGTATTGCTGAGGACAGAACACAACATTGCTGACATTTATATATAAGATTCTAACATAACATGAGAATGTGTTCAATATTGTTGAGTACAGAACACAACATTGATAATGTTTATCTCTAACATGCTAACATGACAAGAGAATGTGTCCAGTGTTGCTGAGGACAGAACACAACTGATGATGTTTATCTATAATATTCTAACATAACATGAAAATGTGTTCAGTATCACTGAGGATGGACTGTAATGTTTTAAAACACAAACAGCCACTACAACCAGGGTTGAAATGCAAAAACGAATTTATTGAACTTTAACAACCACAGAAATCCAAGTTGAAACTTTCAAACAAATAGAATACAAGATTTATAACAAACAAAACAAGTAAATAAATATGTATCTAGCCAGGACTTTATACTAACGTTAATGAACAATACAACATAATCTCTCACAACATTGATAATATCTATATATCACCACTAGGAGAAACTGGCATCAGTCTTATAATACATATGCTCTTACTCAGAATTAACGTGATCAACTGGAAAGTGAGTTAGTGCTTTAATGTAACTCCAAATTTATAGATAAACTAAACAAATATTAAATGAACAGTAGATAAAGCCATAACAAAATAAAAATATAATTCGCTACCTCACAACTTTGTTTTACTTTCTGGAGCTGAGCATTTACAGTAACTGAGAATTTGTAAACCTGGTGATTGCAAACCTCTATCTAGCTTTTAAGCAGCTGATTTTTTTATTTTATTTTCTGGTTCTTTTCAGGTTATAATTTTATTTCTTTGATGGCTAACCTACATTACATTCTTTTGTTCTTATTCAATGTGTTTGATGCTGAACTGAACTGAACTGTTCCTCTCATTTATTAACTGTTTATGTCTTGCAGCAATAAAATGTAAGCAAATGTCCATAAAAAGTGTTTATTGGACTTTTATGTATATATAAGTGCACTATCTCTGGGGTTTTCATTAATCATGTTTTTTTTTCAACTCAGTTATCTTTTATGGTATTAAAAGTGTCTTAAAATTTAAATTATGGTAGTTTTAAGTCATATTTGAGATACATTTTTAAATGTTTGAATTTATTTGTTTATCAGATTAATGCTTGTTACGAACTATTTTAAATAGTGAGCAAATAAAGATTATGTATTGAAACATAAATGTATAGTGTAAAAATGAAAAACATACATTTATGTAATTCGTGGTGTAAATTGTGAGGAAAAAATTAATATCTGTTAAATCTTACCACAGAAAAAGTGAAAACCTGGTTTTAGGTAACAATGTATTTTACGTTGTTTAACCTCAGTAATGTAAACTTTTATTGTATTTTGTTTCATGTTCTGTTTTCAGTCTAATATATTTGAAATATTCATATTCAGTTTTTCTTCTATAGTAATCCATTTTTGTGAGGAGCTAAAGCCATGTAAAGAAGGTAGCACATGTGTTAATGTTGGCAGAGATTACAGGTGTGATTGTCCACCAGGACTTGTGGGAAAAAACTGTGAAATTAATGAAGACGACTGTTCTTCTGATATTTGTCAGCATGGTGGTACATGTATTGATGCTCTGAATGGCTACCATTGTCACTGTTTACCTGGCTTTACTGGTATAAATTGTGAACACAATATCAATGACTGTGTGGGTGGTAAGTGAGAATCTTTCTGCTTTATTTAAACAAAAAATGTTATTATAGCAAATGGATTGGTATTATAAAGGACTAATCTGTTACATAAACCCCTTTTACCCTATAAGATATATAAAGTACTAAAGCATTGTACTGAAGAATTGTTTTTACCTTAGTAGGACACTATAACATTTTTACAAATGCTGCAGCCTTATGACTGAAAGACTGTCTTACATTTAACATAAAAAAATGACTTATATTTGTATCCATTTCTAACATAAATTTATATTAAGGCAAGAAGTTGTGAAGATCATGTACAGTTCAGGGATTGTCATTTAGATAGGACAGTTGTTCTTTAATATCATTTAGTTATTTTAGTAACACTGTGTGTATGTAAAATGTGTAGTTTGTGCTATTTGAATGGTTATTAAACAAATCAAACAAATGTTCTCAAAATAGACTGATTTTTAGTTTCTAACTTATAAAACATCCAAGAGCATCTGGCCAGCCTCTGGACCACTAAGTTGCTCCCCCTATTCAAATCAGAAATGGTGGTACTATAGTTATTATCTCATGAATATGACGCTACAGCTGATTGTGTTTCCTACAGATCCATGTTTGAATGGTGGAACATGCATTGATTACATCAACAACTACATCTGTCGTTGTCCTAAAGGATTTACTGGCAAAACCTGTGACATTAACTATTATGACTGTGCATCAAGTCCATGCCAAAATGGAGCAACATGTTTTGATCTCAAAGATGCAAGTACACTTCCACAAGATTATTTTTAATTCTCTAAACATTAACAGAAAATAAAGAAGTATGTAGTTTTTATGAAACAAACAAAATTCTTCGTTTTGGAAAATAAATTTTTATTCTGTGACTTTTAGATGTATGTGTATTTCCTACAGAAAATGTTTCTCCTAAGTTACCTAAAAATAATAATAATTCATTTTATATATGAAAACATGTTTCTATTTTGATAAACAATATTGGTAGAAAAACAGAAATATTATCCAAACTCTCATAACTGCACCCTTACATAGACTTGTGGAGAACATATTAAAATTGTTGCACTTTGTCAGGTGTTTTAATTTTTGTTGAGAAGTTTTCAAATAAAATTTGTTGAAAGGTCATGATGTTATAACTAATTAGAGTAGTAATTGTAATTTTTGAAAATATATATTTGTTTAATCATGTAATATTTGAAACTTGCATCAGCTTGTTTTGTGATTAGTGCCAAGTACACAGTGGTAAGCACTATTGCACTAAAGATTTTTAACTGATATTAATCTGATCTAAAAAATTTTGTAATGTTTAGTAGCTTAGAAAATCATACTCCATTTGTTAGAAAGGTCAGCAGTTTTATAAGAAAATGAAATTATTCTTTCCTAGATCAAGTCCAAAATATTTAGAATTGCTATTGTTATGAAACAGATTTGTGATGAGGTCAATTTGAAGTGGTAGAAAACTTAATGATCCCAATAAAACCTTGTGATGGAGAAAATGTAGGCAGGGCCTCATACAAATTGTCTCATGAAGGCTTACATGTACAACTGTGTAGAAGAGAAGAGAGGTGGGTCTGCATAGATGTGGAAGTAGACAAATTGTCATGTTGATTCCAGTAAAACTGTGTGAAGAAGGGAATGTAGGCAGGGTCTCATGAAGCACTTTGTACAACTGTGTAGAATAGGAGAAAGGGGCCTCTGCATAGATATGGAAGTAAGCAAGCTGTTGTTGTGATACTGATAAAACTTTATTAAGGAGAAAAAAAAGTGGAAGACATGGAATCTGAAATGGGAAGGTTAGTGGTAGATTGATTCAGAAGATGAACACGAGTAAAGGGAAAAGTTAAGAAAGAAGAAAAAACCTGGGAAGAGAATGAGGATTGAAGCTGTACAATGTCAGTCTAGGTCTCCAGAGAGAAGTGATCATCACTGAAGATGCCTGGGCAAAGAAAGGGAGCCTGGCAAAGACCATGTACACCAGAAAGAGGAAGGTGTACAGTAAAGAGGAACATAATCTGACTTAATGAGTCCTAACATCAGGGGAACAAAGAAAGGAGGGACAGAGCAGAAGTGAAACAGGCTAAGATGGCAAAGAAAATGGAAAGAACTTGCTCAGACAAAAGATGGAGATAGGAGAGGGAATACAGACAAGAGATGAGGAAAAGATAAAAACACGAATATGGGGAATAAAAGAGCAAAATAGAAGGCAAGGGGCCTAATCCTCAAGCAGACCAAATAGATACCAAACACAGGGAATTGAGAAAGGAAAAGAAGAATGCCTAGAATAAGATTACTCCATTAATTCTGAGCTGGTTAAAAAGAAATTGAGAAGTTTAAAGAACAATAAGGCTCCT